GCACTAAAATAGATGTGTAGATCAATGGTACAAAATAGAGGACACAGAAATAACCCACATAATTACAGTTATATTATATTTGACAAAGGTGCCAAAAATATACATTGGAGAAAACATAGCCTCTGCAACAAATTGTGCTGGGAAAATTGGAAATCCTTATGCAACAAAATGAAATGAAACCCCTATCTCTCACCATGCACAAAACTTAACTCAAAGTGGATCAAGGACCTAGGAATTAAACCAGAGACCCCACTTCAAATAGAATAAAAAGTAGGCCCAAATCACCATCATGTCAGATTAGGCCCTGAATTTCTTAATAAGACTCCTATAGTGCAAGAATTAATATCAAGAATCAATGAATGGGATAGATTCAAACTAAAAAGCTCCTTCTCAGCCAAAGAAACAATCAGTGAAGTGAATAGAGAGCCTACTAATTGGGAACAGATTCTTACCACACGCATGTCAGATAGAGCAGTAATCTCTAAAATATATAAAGAACTCAAAAATCTTAACACCAAAAAAAAAAAAACAATAACCCAATCAATAAAGGGGCCAAGGAACTCAACAGACACTTCTCAGAAGAAGATATACAATCAATCAACAAATATATGAAAAAATATTCCACATCTCTAACAATTAGAGAAATGCAAATCAAAACTACTCTAAGATTTCATTTCACTCCAGTCAGAATGGCAATTTTTAAGAATACAAGCAACAATAAATGTTGGCAAGGATGTGTGGAAATGGATACACTCATTCACTGATGGTGGGACTGTAAATTGGTGCATCCATTATGGAAAGCAGTATGGAGATTTCTTGGAAAACTGGGAATGGAATCACCATCTGACCCAGCTATCCTACTCCTCAGCCTATACCCAAAGAACTTAAAAAAGACATACTACAGGGACACAGCCACATCAATGTTTACAGCAACACAATTCACAATAGCTAAACTGTGGAATCAACCTAGATGCCCTTCAGTAGATGAATGGATAAAGAAAATGTGGTAATATACACAATGGAATATTATTCAGAATTAAAAGAGAATAAAATCATGGCATATGCAGATAAGTGGGTGGAGCTAGAGAATATAATGCTGCGTGGAATTAGTCAATCCCAAAAAACCAAATGCCGAATGATTTCTCTGATTTAAGGACTCTGATTCATAATATGCTGCAGGGTGAGGGGGGTGGTGGTGGAAGGATGGGAGGATTAAATGAACTCTAGATAGGGTAAAGAGCAAAAGGGGAGGGAGGGAAGGGACTGGGGCATAGGGGTAGGAAAGATAGTGGAATGGGATGGTCATCATTACCCTAAGTTCATATATGAAGACACAAAGGATGTGACTCTAGTTTGATTGGCTTATTTTACTTAGCATGGTAGTCTCCAGTTCTATGCTTTACTGGCAAGTACCATAATTTCCTATCTATGGCTGAGTAATATTCCACTGTGTATGCCACATTTTCTTTGTCCATTCATCTGTTGAAGGGCCCTAGGTTGGTTCCATAGTTTGGATATTGAACTGCTATATATGTTGATGTGGCCATGTCAATTCAAGATGCTGATTTTCAATCCTTGAGAATATGTTGAGGAGTGAGATAACTGGGTAAAATGGTGGTTTCATTTCAAGTTTTCTGAGGAATCTCCATACCATTTTCCATAATGGTTACACCAGTTTGTAGTCCCACTATCAACGTATGGGTGTACCCTTATCCCTGCAATCCTTGCTAACATTTATTGTTACTGATATGTGGATGTTAATGCTAATTAAGGGAGATAGAGGGAAGAATAGAAGTTCATTGGATTAGACCAAGGGAAATGAAGGTATGGGATGGAGGATGGAAATAAGAAAGACACTAGAATGAATTGGACATAACTTTGCTATGTTAATATATGAATCACAACCAGTGAAACTCCACATCATGTAGAATCACAAGAATGGGATCCTAATTAGAAAAATATTCCATGTATGTATAATATGTCAAAATACACTCTAGAGCTGTCATGTATATCTAAAAAGAACATATTAAAAAATAATAAAAATTTTAAAATACAAAAAAATCACTATTTTTTAATTTAAAGTTTTATGTGACAATATAGTACCACAAATATGCTTCATATCTAATGAAATATGTTAATATATCATATAATATATGGCAACATTTATGTAGCAATAAATATTCTTTTATGAAAAAAGAACCTTTATTTTATTTTATATACTTTTTTTCTTTCCTCTTTCTCTCTTTCTTTGTTGTTTGTGTGTTAAATGATTCAGATTCAGGGATTGAATGGTTAAAATATACACCATATTTTAGGCCACAAAGTGACTCTTAACAAATACAAAAATAGAGATAACACCTTGCATTTTATCAGATCATAATGGAACAAAATTAAAAATCAACAATAAAATAAAAAATAGAAGCTACTCTAACACATGGAGACTAAATAATACACTATTAAATGACCAATGGATATCTGAAGAAATCAGGAATGAAATAATAAAATACTTAGAGGTAAGTGAAAATAGTGACCCAAAATATCAAAATCTCTGGTACACTATGAAAGCAGTTCTGAGGCAAGTTCATTGCACTGAGCTCATTTGTTGAAAGAACAGAAAGTCACCAAATAAATGACATAACTTTACATCTCAAAGCCCTAGAAAAAGAAGAACAAATCAAACCCAAAAGTATTAGAAAACAGAAAATAATTAAAATCAGAGCTGAAAGCAATGAAATTGAAATCCCCCAAAATATTTTTTTCAAAAAAAAATCAACATAACTAAAGGTTGATTATTTGAAAAGATAAACAAAATTGATAATCCTTAGCCAAGATGACAAAAAGAAACAGAGGAAAAAACTCAAATTATTAGTCAGTTGTTAAAAAGGAAATATCATCACAGACACTACTTAAATACAGAAGGTAATCAGAAACTATTTATGAAAATTTATGCACCAATAAATTAAATTTTGAATTTAACCTAGATATCCCAATCCTCAGTCTATACCTAAAGGAATTAAAAACATCATACTACAGGAACACAGCCACATCAATGTTAATAGCAGCACAATTCACAATAGCTGTGGAGCCAACCTAGATGCCCTTTAGTAGATGAATGGATAAAGAAAATGTGGTATAGATATACCATGGAATATTACTCAGCAATAAAAGAGAATAAAGTCATGGCATTTGCAGGTAAATGGATGGAGTTGGAGAATATGATGCTAAGTGAAGTTAGCCAATCCCCCAAAAAAACAATGCTGAATGTTTTCTCTGATTAAAGGATGTTGATTGTGGGTGGGGGGCATGGGAGGATTAGATGAATTCTAGATATGGCAAAGGGGAGGGAAGTGACATGAGAGTAGAAAAGATGGTGGAATAAGATGGACATCATTACCCTAAGTATATGTATAAAGACACAAATGGTGTGACTCTACTTTGTGTACAACCAGAGACTTGAAAAATCATACTCTATGTGTGTAATATGAATTGTAATGCATTCTACTATCATATATATAACAAATTTAAAATATATGTTTATAAATATGCATAAAATATATATGTATATAAATAGACCTTGATACATCAATAAATTTCAAGAGATACA